GAGAGAGAGAGAGAGAGAGAGAGAGAGAGAGAGAGAGAGAGAGAGAGAGAGAGAGAGTTGTTCGACCATGTGAGACTAACTCTGCAGATTGAATTTTCAGGACTTGCTGTATCTAAAGGTGGGGAAGGACAGTCAGAGCAAGCTTGTCTGGGGAAGAGGACCCACATTTGGTAAGGAGCAATAACCAGGGTGGCAGACTTCCAGGTATTTGTGCCAGTGTGATATTTCAGGGATGTTTGCCGGTGATATTTCAAGGGCTGCAGATCTCAAAGGCAGCATGCTGTACTACAATGAATCTCTCTGTGATGCTCTGTGCAACCTCTGTGATGTTCTCTGCAGTCCACAACAAATGCACCTCATGTTCCTTTCCTTGCATATGGGCATGGAACTGAAAGGCCGGACTTTTTGGTAATGCAATAGGAGTTTGGGAAAATTCAGCTACTGATCAGTACTTTCTACCTTCGGATCTGTCGGCGGAAGAACCAAGTTGAACCGGCACCCTTAGCCACAAGAGCCAGGTCTCGTAACCACTGCAGCCATGACACGGTGGGAAACACCTCACAATGTAAAACTCGTGAAATTCGCGGAGCTATTTGGGACTTGTGCTGTATCCTCCCTCGTTGAGCGAAACCCCTAGGGCTATTCAGTGCATATGGCACGGGACAAGGGTTCAAGGGCTGTGTGGAGGTTTGTGCGAGTCTGGGATGATGTGAACAGTGTGGTACCAGATACCAGTGGACGGAGTCGGATCCTTCACTAAAGTTCGCAGCAAGACCTGCTTCTTTCCGTCTTGAAGGATCATCAGAAAAAAAAGAGAAAACTTTAAGGATTATCTCCCGGACACAAGAAGAATCATCTACAATCTGGGTATAGCAGGACAACTAGGCGGACCGGAAAAGACGACAACACCAAGGCGGTCATGGACAGACGAGGACAAGGGGTATTGCAGAAGGCACAATGAGCACCCAGCAACAATGAACAAGAGAGATTGGACAGGGTTTGTCTCTTGCAGTTTTCTGCGTTTTCGATCTGGGTACCTTCATTGTTTTAGTTTTCGATACACAGCACCGAAGTTGCTTTTCGTTGCTTCGATGCCCTTCTGAGGAGACCCGTCCTTGAGCCGGTGTTCTTCTGTTCTAATATCTGTAGCTGGAACTGGTTTCTACCGGGTACTTGGCGGTACCGTACATTTTGCGACACAGGTCAACTTTGGGACTACGACCGTCGACCTGGTAGTGTAGCATAACCACGACTTTTTTTTTTTTTTTTTTTTTTTTTTTTTTGCCTGAGGCTGGCCGGAGCCGACTAATTATTAGATCAAGAAGTAATCATTCGACCTCTTGGGTCGGCTGCTCGGCGACTATCATTGCTACCGGTAGTAATGATAGGAGCTCTGTGGGCGTGGGTATGTGGAGCGACGGCGATTCTTGGGGTTGACGGATGCTTTGGTGGACTCATGGTTGTGTCGAGACTCTTTGATCTTGCCACCTGCCAGTGGTGGTTTTTTACTACTTTATGACATGTGTACTCTGTGTGCATCTTTTCATCCATATCCATGTCCATGCACACAACACTTGTTCTGCTGATAAGGTTTCAACAGGTTGTAGTTGCTGACGACGGGTTTTTTTTTTTTTTTCCGGAAACGCCAGAGCAGTGTCACTAGGGGGGTTGATACGAGCAGCCTGAGGGCTGTCTGGAGGGCTGTCATAATTAAGCAGGATTCATTCATGAGAATGCACAGCCAGTGCCTCTATGACTGTCTCCCGTACACCGTAATGTGGGAGAGATCGTTAAACCACCCCTCCCCCCCGCCAGCCTAGAGTCGATTTTCCGGGGAGTGAGGGCCGTGAACGGCGTGGGGTCGACGACCAAAAAGAAAGAAAAAAAAAAAAAAAAAAAGGCATCTGAAATTGTGAAAAAGTCAGGGCGCGGTTTCCAATTCAGGCGCTGCACTGCACTTTTGATCTTCTTTTGTTCTTTTTTTTGGGGGGGGGGGGGGGAAGCCCCGCCTTGCAGCACAACACGGAAATATACACCGGAAATATACACCACAATTATCCATGTGTCAGGGGCAGTGGATTGAGGCACAAAATGTGGTGGCACCTGGGGCCATGTCCCACTTGCTCCGTTGAGCTAGGTCCTCGTTGGGTTTTCTACCACGAGTGACGTCGGGCAACGCTTCAGATGGGGTGCTGTTCTGAACATCGCGCGGTTGATTTTAGTTCTCTCCGGAGGTCCTCCAAAACAAACATTTGTCGTTTCGGGAAATGCCACAAAAAATGGATTCTCTCGTATGCAACGCCCCCTACCCTTCGGCCTTTCCGTTGAGCTAGCTGTCTTGAAAAAAGAAGACAGCTAGCTCAATGCTCCATGGACCGTTTTCCATTGCGTTTTCATTTTTTTTTATTTGGGTCGTCATCATTCACCGTGTCAGACTGTTTTCGTGGATCCATCATCTTCGGGCTGACAGCTGGCCCGTTCCGAGCCG